AGCTTTCAAATGAAACTAACCCCATTCCGTTCGGGTTATTGGTTGCCGAGATATCCTACTTTAGTTAACTTTACCTGGATGACGTCACCACGGAGGGCAAGGTCATCGCTCGAAGTGTCTCCCGGCGTTTTTCTCAACCTCTATATGTCTAAAAGCTATTTTCAAAATTTCATGCTTGTTGCCGGAAGTGAAATATACTTACGCTAATTACACGTACTACTTACCTTATCAGTCCGTTTGATTTTCATCATCCTTCTCCAGATTTCAAAAGCTTCCAACCTTTCGTGACCTCTTTTAATTTTTGTCCGCATTTCACTACCGTACGTTAGAACACTCCATACAAAACATTTTACCAATCTATCTCAATTCAAGATTCGTCTTACAGCATTAAATCCTCTTCTTTCTATTAAATAATAAATACTTGTTTTTCCATCGCTATAATCTTAATTTTTCTTTCGCTTTTCCAACTCTGTACGTAAAACTTATTGAATCTTTTCACTTGCTCTATATCCTCACTCCGTCTACCGTTAATAATGTCTATCGTTACTGTTATACTCTCGTGCACTTCCACTTTCATTATACTTTTGTTTAATTGATTTGTTGTTATTAATTCTTAACTCTGTTTTCATTTTCTCTAATTTTCTAACAATATCTCCTTTTCCCCCTCAACCAACACAATCATGTCGTCCGCATATCGTCTTTCCTCCGACGTTCAGAGAATATTTTCCCCATTTCCCAAAATATTTCCACCATGTCTTCTACATATATATTAAACAGCGTTGGTGATAAACAGCATCCCTGTCGAACTCCTCTACATATATCAAAGCAATCAATCTTTTTACAGCCAACACTGATTTCGATTTTTGTTTCATATATATAAGCTTATTAGTCGTCTCTCGCTCCAGGTGACGTTTTTCCTCTTATTGAGTACTTCCAGTGATGGGCAAATTACAAGGATAGAGTAATGGACTTACCCATTACACACTAAGAAATTTTGTAATCCCATTACCCATTAACTATTTTCGTTGCTATAACTCAATTGTATTGATTCTATTATAATTATCCATTACATAACTTACATGATTGCATTATGTGTGAATGAATATTGAATAGTGCAATTTTGACCATCCGCACATTAGTAACTGAGGTATTGTATTGGAGTAAAACATGAACCCTCAGTTTTTTGACGGAAATACACGTTTTGAAGTGTACCAGGAATCCGAATCAAACAAAATCTCGTCTTCTGTAGTCTACGCGTACGGTCATAAGGGGAGCATGGTAGCATTCAATTTGACACTCCGATGCGCGATTGGGGTTGAATGCGTCGTTGGAGAAAGCGTTAAGATGGAGCTTCCTACCTATGTGGGAAAGAGGGTTCATCATTATTAGGACGCGCATCTCGCCTCGAGAGAAGATGTTTGATTTGATTAAAAAAATTAATTGAACATGTGCACTAAATTTCCCTCTGTAAATTCTCTCCCGAAAACTTACCCCAGGATTATTCTCTGCATGATTAACCTCTACAGAATTTGTTCCTACTGACAAATCGCTCGTGAAGATTTTCCCTCGTCGAAATATTTTGTCACCAGGAATTAGTTCCAAGTGGAGGAAATCCAGTCCCAAAGCTATGATTATAGAATAAGTATTCAATGCTCAAATGGTTATAGGCAGCACATCATACAATTTAGTTAACATTTCGTCAGCGGACTTCAAACCTGAATATTAGTTTTGGGCCCTAGAAATTAACTCCTTGCAGATTAAATCGATCAAACAAAAAACCGCTAAGTATAATGTATAACCTTGGACCCAAGCAGCGATAGTTACGTTTCACTAGAAGAAAAGTAATGGGGTGCGTGGGTACTTTTTTAATTTGATGACTTTGTCTTCGTTTCTGATGATCAGATCTTGATGGCTACCATTTTTTGGGTTTTTAGAAATCAAAATTTATTGGAAGTCGTCTCTTTCTGACAGACTTGTGACCATTTTTTTCTTGCTAAATTTTAACGGCAAGGTAATGGTCTTGGGGCCACACACTTTTGAAACTGATGGTTGTAAGAAGTAAAAGAAAAACACCATACGTATCCTTTGTTTATGGTGGATAGAGCGCTTCATGTGTATAGATTTTTTGGAATCTACTGGCTGCCTTTGGTACTTCCCGAAGGCAGCTTTTTTTGACATTATCATTCCACCATGGCAGTGGTCGCTTTATAGGCTTATCGCCGCACCTGGTTATACTAACGAGAATCGCTTTAGTATACGACTCAACATTGTCATTTTCTGGAATATAGGCTAATTTGCTTTCCTTGATGTAAGAAACCTTTTAATGATTGTCTGATCTTGGATTTTCGAGGTGGTTTCTATAACAATTGGAAAATGAGCGCTATTGTGCAAATCATTAATGGGACGCCATTTAGTTGAGGTACTAGGATCAGACTAAAAGGTGAGATCAATAGCATCAAATGCGCTTGGTTCAGCGTTATGGTAAGTATAGCCTCTCCTGAGTCCTGTATCGTTTCTAATGAACCAGTTCTCAGTCATGCGTCCTCTAGTATCGCTTTCTGAGCACCCCCCCCCCCCCCCCAGTGTATTGTGCGCATTGAAATCTCCAACTACAACAAACGGAGTAGGGAGTTGCTCAAATAAATCTTCTAGTTGTTCAGTTGTCCAGTCGGTATCCGGGATGTTTATGTGTTACAGAGGGTAACCATTACCTATCGGAACAAATATCTTTACGGCTACGCGTCCGTTTAAGACTACTCTCTGGATCTGAGCACCTGTTCGAATTAAAATCGCAACACCACTACAAACTCTCTGTTCGGCAACAAAATCCGTATCCGTATTTTCCATTAACTACTGCGCACTTCTTCGAACAATCCTTCCATTGTTCAAAACATTTTTTAATTAATCTGACTGGATGTTTTTTAGGCTTCCTAGCGATTTTTGTACCACTTCCACCGTGGCAAAAAAGAAATGAAAGAGGCAAGATCCGGCGTGTGGATGGGGGGGGGGGGTCTTCTTTGAGCTGATTTTGAGGCTCCAAATATGCCTGAAGGAGACGCTCCCTTTGCTCGCCTGTGAGAAGGTGAGGGACAAATTTGGCTGCAACCCTCCTCATGTGTAGATCTTCGAATAAAATCCGCTGAATTGAACTACATGATATGCTAGACACCTCACAGCAGTGAGCAGAGACGTCTTCAACCAATTGGGGGCCCTGGGATAATACGAAATTCAGCAAAAACGATCTCAAACGGGGCTGGTTTTCAATTATCATTTCTTTATTATTAAAACGTGAATATCAGCCGCAGACTCTGGTTTTACTTAAGACAGCATCCCCATAAGCAGCCTTAAAGTTTCCCCGACCGATTTCCCCAACAGGAAACAACATTTCAGAGCCACGCGTTGTTCTGGACAATCTGTCATGCCGTTTTCAACAAAATTCTCCCGAACGACCTGATACACTCACAACGACACAACTACGCACACTGATTCCGGAGGCGTGATCCTAACGACCGTCTGATCGCACAATGGGTTCCGCCACCTTTCCTCCCCGCCGCAGTCCAATTCCTGTTTCTTTTGGGTACCTCCTCGTACAAGAAAAAAATGTAGCTAATATGCTCTACGTTGTTAGGATAAAAAATAAATATAAAAATCACAAACATCACTTTTTAGCTGGACTAGCTTTCCTTATCACTAGAGTTCTGTTGGGCGCTTTTATCCCAAATGAGAACTAGGGACCCGTTGATTTCGTAAACATCGGTAACGTGTAATGTGCTAATGATATGAGCATGTAAGAAACAAATAACTGAAATTTTTTGTTGCATATATACAGACGTCATGTATTTTTGTTGAAAAAATGACTTATTCGATTTCGACCGGGAAACTTGGCCTGTAAAATCCAAAACTCCCTGAATTTTGAAGATTGAACGACTACATTAGATTAGATAATTCCTTTTTCCGACCGAATTTACAGACTGCCGTTTGGACCACTACCATAGAGGAATTTGTATTTACTCTATGCCACTACATGGGTAGTGACCCACCCAATCTTCAAAATTTTGTCAGTTTTGGATTCCCGAAACTATAAGAAAACGTCCGAAAAAATGACTTCTGGAATTCCCAAAATTGGAATGCCACTACGCATTCTGGCAATGCAAAAGATCCAGAACGGATTCTGGGCTACATTAAACCTCCGCAAATTCGCACATTGGCAATATGCTGGTGGCCGAATTCGGACAAATCCACTTTTCCGAATGTGGTGGTTGATCCATCGTCTCGTATTTGGGAAAGACAAATCAAATCTCGTTTCACTTTTCCGAAATTAGTCAAATTCTCGTGAGGCTTTCAATTCTTAATAACCTTCAATCTTTCGCCTATTTTATAGTAGTATTGAACAAGCATGCGAGACTTACGCGATGTGCTTCAGTAGATACTATCAAGGTAATACAGCAGCTACCTCTGCGTATTAACTTTCTCATTGTAATTATTAGTATTGTCAAAGGCACGTTAAATACTTTTTCTAATTACCTAAGCCATACTTTTATGTGAACAAAGCTAATTGTTTTAGTTGCATCTACACGTCGCTTACAAAATTATAAAAAATGCCCAGAATTAGGAGGGAAGGAAATAATCCAGTAAAAAATGACCTTCCACTGGCTAGAGCCTTTCATTTGAAACGAGCGGCCTTGTTATCTATAGCAGGGGAAGATTATCGTTTGTAATAACCTCGAAGGAATGATGTATTATTATAAATCTTATGACATCACTAAGGAAGCAATCGCCAATTTGTTCCATTTCCTTTTACCGTTTCCTGTAAAATTTGAATCTAAAGGCATGGGACAATGCTCTGAGATTTATCACAGGGGCGATTTGTATATTTGGTTGTCATGGCAAGAAGTGATTTGCGGTTGGTGTATTTAAGCAACAAAAATTATAATACCGCAAAATCCTAAACCCCACTATACCATGCAAGAGCACTTTACTCATTCCATAATAAGAGGTAATGATCATTAGTAATCATTTCACGCGCGTAGCTGAATTACAGTGATTTAGTGGTTATAATCAAATGAGAAATACTTATTATTGTCATAAGTGTAGGTATGGATTCTGACGGTGCTAATCGGTCGAAATTTTGGGATAATGTTGTTCAAAAATGTAAGCATACCTTTACATTGTCTTATGTAGGATCTGATTACCTATACGTTGTAGTTACGGCTCCACCATCCGTGTACACAGTAAATCCGCAAGGAAATCAAAAAAAGGATACAGAAGTTGAAGATCCCAACACAGTAATCGCTGGGACAGTCTCTGAAAATCGCACGCATGAAAATAACGTTCGGTCTAGAGCGACCCATGCCTCGTATGGGATATCATTTAAAAAACCAAGGCTTTTTAACCAGGTAACATCTTTCAAAACGTACTGAAAAGAAAACACTTTTTCACGGCTTCACCATCAATTCTCCACCACCAATTACCTACCATTTTTGGAATGTATTTTCAATAAACATTGATGGCAATGATGGAATTATCGCGATCTAACCCTGGTAGTTTAATTATCGCCCAGAAACTTTAAACAAAAAATATCTCTAAAACAAGATTATTAGTGTTAGTTCGTGATAAGGTGTGTATTTTCTGAAAGTTAAGTTGACCGCCTCTATTTCTATTTCTAAATTTTGTAGTCATTTGCTATTTTTTTCTGTACCACACAAATTTTGTGCTCTCATGGTTTTTGAGTTATTCAAATTTCTACAATGGCCAATGGGGCTCCAACTGTACATCTATACTCGATGCTGTAAAAGGATTTTTGTACACTTCAGTTTCTTGTGCTATTTTTTGTCATGTCATATAAATTCTGTGCGCTTACTCTTTGAAAGGCTAACCTCGTCTTCTCACTTATAATCCCTGCAGACACGCTTTCATTCCTGTTCGCTATAAAGCGGTACATGTGTAAATTTTCCTATGTTGACCAAAATATGAATTCGAAAAAAAATGCTTCAAAGTGGTGAAGTCCCATTCCATAAATTTGAATAACTCGAAAATCAAGTACAAAATTTGTATCATACTACAAAAACGACAAACGTACATAAAGTTACTGCACAGTGCATAGTCAAAGGTTCGATATTGAAAACCTCAGAAAGAAAGTTTGGAATATTTGACAGATATTTGCAAGGGAGATAACATGCATATTTTTTGTGGTTGCGGTAGTCTAGAAAGCAGTTTATGTCGGAAACATGTTTTTAGGGCTTCACAACCAGAAAGGTTTCAAAAAATATAGTATATGGGTATCTTTTGCCTCTACAATTCTTATTTTCTCTTTTTGTTTGTCCGACGTTTGGTTTAAATGACAATGTTAATTCTTTTAATTCTTTTTTGGAAATTTTCCGTATAGTATTTCAAGTCGACTTAATTTTCATCTATGCGTAATGCTTACTACAGAAAGCCAACACAAGACACTTTCTTGATCAAGGTTTCCATTGCATAATTTGGAAGTCGTTCTAGGGTCTCGTTGTAGTGACGCCGCCTCACGGGTCACTGTGTTTCGCGCGTGTAGTGTGACTCCTCTCCATTGGATAACAGCAAATGTTTGCAAAACTTAAAGCAACATGGAATACTGTAAATTAGTTGTTGCTTGTTTCAGGTTCTAGCATCAATTTCCATAGCATGTGTATCTGCTGTGACCGGATTCATATCAGCCTTTACAGCACCGGCAACCGACGGTATTAAGATGGAGTTAAAAGTATCCGATGAGGAGGTTTGTGATTAGTTATAAAAAAAGACCCACACGATCTAATAATAATGAACTTTTAGTTTTCGTGGGTCGGCAGCCTGGTACCGTTGGGAGCGTTAGTTGGAGCGCTAGTAGGCGGACAGCTCATTAATTTCTTTGGCCGAAAGAGAACGATTTTGATTGCCAATGTTTTATTCCTAATATGCTGGGGGAGCATCGCGATCGCTTCGAGTGTAGAATTTCTGTTTGTCGCAAGAGGTATTAGCGGTTTTGCGGTAGGAATCGCATCCTTGACAATGCCCCTTTATATAGGAGAAACAATTGAACCGCATGTGCGTGGGACTCTGGGATTGTTACCAACAGCGTTTGGAAATATTGGAATTTTACTGTGTTTCTTGCTGGGCACATACCTTTCGTGGAGGACTCTAGCCTGGTGCGGTGCTCTCCTATCAATACCGTTTTTATTTCTGGTGTTTCTAATTCCGGAAACCCCAAGATGGTACGCCTCTCGGAATAGAGATCGAGAGGCGCACGATGCGCTGAGGTGGCTTCGTGGTCCAAATGAGGATATTCACGAAGAATATTCAAACCTATTTAACAAGGAAAAGGGAGTTACCCCTAGTGTATGTCGGGTTATAATGGAGTTACGCGAACACGCACACTTAAAGGCACTGATTATTGCCTTAGGCTTGATGTTTTTCCAACAATTTACCGGAATTACAGCGGTGATTTACTACGCAACCGATGTATTTAATATGTCAGGGTCTGAAATTGATAGTAGTTTGAGTACAATTATAGTAGGGCTTGTTAATTTTGCGTCGACGTTCATCGCCAGTGTGCTAGTCGATAAGGCTGGGCGAAAAGTTTTGCTATACGTCTCTAGTCTATCTATGATTCTTACCTTAATAACGCTAGGCACGTACTTCTACTTCTTGCATTTGAAATTTCCCATAACCCAATATGGCTGGGTACCATTATTTAGCCTTATTGTGTACGTCTTAGGGTTTTCTTTAGGTTTTGGCCCAATTCCTTGGCTGATGTTGGGAGAAATTTTTCCTATTCGAGTCAAGGGGATTGCAGCATCCTTTGCAACTGCCTTTCATTGGTTATGCACATTTGTTGTTACCAAATCCTTTGTAAATATAATTCAAGGAGTTGGACCTTATGGTGCTTTTTGGATATTTGGAATACTGAGCATCGCGTCAGTGGTTTTTGTGTCACTTATTGTTCCAGAAACCAAGAATAAAAGTTTAGATGAAATAGAAGCTATTATGAACACCAGAAAAGGAACACCGTACGTATTTAAGCCTTAATTTTTCTAGAGCGACCAATTCTCCCATCTAGTCATCTCATGAACAAACTCACAATTACGTTTGGAATACTCCCTTTATTTCTAATACGAGCAGGGCGATATAAAATAGCAATAATGCGGTAATCCTATAAAAATATTACTGACAACAATTGCACATTTAAATTTTGCATGCTAAATCAAAAGTAATTTTATCTATATGATGAAAAAGTGAGGCCTGTATTATTAAATTTGTGGCACAAATTAGGTAATAAGAAAAAAGATGTATATCAGTTTAATTATCTGTAAATTAAAATAAACAATCAAAAGACAAGTAATTAACCGTCTTTATTTCTTTGGCTTAATTATTCCTACGAGTAAGTATATACACCAATTGTTAGTGTTTGATTATTATCCACGAAAAGGTGTTGTGGACGTCCACCCCTATTTGAGCTACCTACATCAGCGGTTATTTCATACTTTTCTTGGAAGTAATAACGAAATGTTATATGTGAATCAACGAAGCATGTCCACTCCTCTACGCCCCTTTCAGGTTCCATCTTTGTCACTAAGATGCAACACTTTGAAGTGGGTACCACATTCCTAATTCCACGTGCAGCACCCACAGTGAAGTAATAACTGCTTGGACTAATACTAAGTGCCTGGTAACGTTGTATGGAGGAAAAAAACACTAGCAGGAGCTAATTCCTGTGGATTCCACGAAGTCACCGGTCACCCTCTTTCAGTTCCTACTCTGTGGGTACGGGAAATGTGCAGGAGGAGGGTGCTCATGTATAACATCAGAGACGCAAGGTCTGTCATGGTTCTACCTGTGTCAATTGCTCCAGTCGTACAGTTGAGCAGCTCAGAAGATGAACAGCTTTTCGACTGTCTTAAAGCTGACGTATCCCCATTGACAATCATAGAGTTATATCATTGTTAAGAAAGAGTTCAGTTGTATTTCCTTGAAAAACAACATGCAGATTGTTGAAAACCTCGATTTCTGTTATTTTCGTTTGTTCTAGATACCTGAGAAACCTTTAAGTTGATGATTATTAAATTTACTACAACCTCATCTCTTTCGACCTTCGTCGATATTTCTCGCGAAAAACCGGTAAAATTTGTACTTTTTGGTGAAAATGACCAACCTTCGAAGGGTCATAACTTGAAATCTATTGGACCTACAAAAACCGAAAGAATTCCGAAAATATTGAGGTTTTTCGAACACCACGCAGTGAGCGCAAGTGAAGATGCAAACTACGGTTTAGTCGTACCTGCCCTAATATCATACTAAACAAGTAGAACTACCGGATGCTTTATTAAGCGGGAGCGCAAAGTGATGCAAGCGTTATAGGGGAGTCTATAGTGTCCGTCTGTCCGTGAACACGATAACTATCAAACGGTTGGATCGATTTGGTTCAAACTTTGCACAGTTCACCTATTGAAAATGGGTCAAATCCAATGACTCCGTGAGGTCACACCGAGGTGCTCTGCGGCTTTTTTAAAAGCTCTTTATGGGTTTATTGTAGCATGCAGAGGATTCACGTATTTCTGGTGATCGTCCATATGGCAAGATCTACAGGGTGTCTTTAGCATTTTGATTTCCAGCTTCCTTAGACTGGGTTAAAAGAAAAAAAAATGTACAATTTTGGGACCGAATCTCGCTATTGTTTATTCCATGCCATTTGCCAACGAAAAATCGAACAGCCCCTCTTTTATCAAATTTATTGTGAATATTAAAAAGGTCAAATAAAAATCGATGCCGTAGAAATAAATTTTCGAAAAAAAACGTTTAGTGGTATCTATACTCCATTTGGTCAGACTACTCTAATAACGACCAAATGAAGTAGTGTTTTTGTCCTTTCATACTAATGAAACGGTCGGCTGTGAAATGTAGTGTTATTTCGTTTTTTAAATGTGAAGTTATGGTCTTTCTAAGCAGTGCAATGGGAAGATTCAATTCCGTCCGAAAGTAATACCTCCATTTCTTCCAGTGTTGCCGAAATTTTAACTTGGAAAAATTCCGAAGTTTTACTGCTCTGCACGGCAAACTAGTAAAGCTATTTGCTTATTCTACCGCCGATCCTTGCGATCTTGGTCAAAATCTGTGCCCGCTGATCAAATGCTCCCTGTGACAAAATCCTACCCTACAACCAGCTAAGCCTGTTTTAGAACACCCTCTACGTATCAAGTCGTAGGTGTGGAAGTTTCATGTTAACAGGAAGCGCTAAAATGGGTTGTTCTTTTTAGGTGGAAAGAGGAATGTAGGTGTTACGTCTAGATTCTTCATATCTTGTTTCCAATTTCATACATTTTAAGCATGAATTTGTATACCCAATTGAATTTCTCACTTTAATTTTCAATAATATTGTAGTGGTTACAAATACATATATGAACCAATGTAAAAATTCACGTATAATCTTCAAGTGAGTAATTGCTAGCTTAATTACGGATACCTACGACACTGCACATTTTTTCTATACTTTTTCTCTCAAAATAGGTGTTAAGCTTTGCAAGTGTATGCTTGATGTCTGCGTGGCGCCATTAATACTTATAGATCGACTACCACTACTGCTTCTGGAACTTCGAAGAAACATCTTGCAAGGGTTTCCTCTTGTATAACGCTGAAGCACATAAACATACGGATCTAACGCGAAATACACTACCAGCAGTGGATCGGAAATCTTTCCCAAAACCTTATATAGACGAGATTCCTTCCAAAACTGGGCCAAAGGAATTGATATCTGAAAGTTACCTGTAAATATTGAGTAGTAACTGATATACTAACCATTTGAGGCATCCAGCAGGTAATGAAAACGATACACAGAGCGGCCATAAGTTTTGCAAATGAAACTTCCTCCTCAGTTGAATATCTCGTAGTCACTTCAGGTTTGCTGCATCTCCGAACTAGTGGTCGCTGGGTGTTTCGAATTTTCCATAATTCGTACAGAATTCGCACGTTGCAACAAACTATACCCAGTATAATTGATGTGCCTATAAACGATTTTAAGTTAATATTTCATCTTTTACATTGTCAAGAATATCTGAATCAAACATTCGTATAAACTTTTATCAAATTGTTATTTGGGCCCAGCCTTGTCATTCTGCCAAGAATAACGAGGCAATTAAATTTGGCTGTTTCTCGAATTTCCAAAAATTAATATCAGACTCGTTGCCTATTTCCAAATATTCGATCTAGACACAAGGGCAACTCGATTATTGATTAAGGAATCACTTAGAAGAATCCAATTTTCCTCAAGATCAAAATTGTGTTGGCTTCAGGGATGTGTTTCTAACGTTCCAATGACGCAACTCATCCTCATCTCATGTGGGTCTACCAGACATGCGTAGTCTAGCGGAACTATGTCTGTTTAAGTGCAACCATAACTACTTTAAGGTTATTTAAAATTATTGAAATTAATTTGTTTCAATCGATCGCATGTGCGTGGTATATTGTTCACAGGCCTTGAGCGCCTCTGTTTATTTTCATCAATGTTAGTTTGTTTAAATTACCTGAGTGTAATTGAGCCTGCTGGACAGGCCTCAATGTGGATGGTTTAGTGACAAATTGCCATTTCGCATAGCACTAGTTTTCCTTTTCATTCATGCTTTTGAGCACTCGCTAAAATCCTTAGAGATTACTTCTATTGAGTAAGCACTATACAGGGTACTCTTTTTTGGGGCTTCGCCGTGGAGATTTCGGTTATGTTAAAAGCTACGACGTTAATTACATTGTGGAAAAGTTCCGTTTCTTACTATAGAACGAGAATCTTAATATAACTACTATTGATATAAAAAAATGAACTAATTACTTTATCAAGATATAAGTTAGATCAATCGAATGGGAATTCTTTAACCTTACCTTATCTTTGGCATCAAAATTATTTTTTACGTAGGTACTTCATGACATAGAACAGCTGATTGCATCTAACCTCTCTTAAAATAGGGAATCTCTCATTGATCTGGTCGATAACAAAAATTCAAAAATACAAAAAGTTATTTGTATAGTAAAAGTATATATTCCAAAATTTTAGGGACTTCACACACCCAGATACTAACCCCCTCTTTCATAAATTTGGGGTAGTTAATATTCAAAATAAATAGTCAATATCTATGGGTTCAGTTGCGTAGTAAAGTAAAAATGCAAAATCGTAAGTGACCATCTTTAGTTCTGTTAGAAATTTGGTAACATTAACTCTAAAGGGGTTGGTACATTTTGTCACTTCAGTGGGAAGCTATATAAAACTATACATATGCAGCAAACAATATAATTCAAAAATTTACTCTCCCCAGTTAAGTTTATAAAAATAGAAAATCTGTTGAATAATTGAAAATTAACATGTAGCCGTAATATGCTGGTCTATCCAACCGGTCTGAGAGTTTTGCCACATAGCAGTCCCAGTCAGTGGATCGGGGATTCCGAAACCTGCAGGGCCCGCAGTGGGATGCCAGGTTTAGTTGGAAAAGAATATGCCCGCGTGTGCGAAGGCGTCGGATCATCTGATTTAAATTTCCCCAAGTTGAAGAGATCTTCGAAATTGAATTGATATTTCGTCAGGGTAATTAATTAATCTCAAGCAAAAGTGTTAAATTTTTTGAATTTTATTTAGGTACGTCGGCCAAATCTAAACAAGGGCCGCAAAGAACGTTTTTTGATATCACCGAAAGGATGCTAATTGGTCGCAAGTCAGTATAATCCTTAGGTGGGTTGCGTTTTATTAAAGAAAACACCCTTGCTCTTTTCAAAATATCTGGAATTGTGCTTGTCCTCCCACAAAAATTTATAATATAAGTAACACCGGCGTACGTAAAGGGGGGGCTGAAGGGGCTACAGCCCCCCCCCCCCCCGAAATAATTGACTTAACTACTCAGCGGCCCATCCCGTAAGTCGTCAGTCATGGTATAATTATTTAAATGCCAAGCGACAATAAAAATGTTGCAGTTGCTGGAAAAACTACCTTACTTTTTCCTTCGCTTACTTGATCTTGCGAATCTGTACGACATACGTGAAAATTTACATACTTTGGTCTTAATTCTCGAGTTTCAGCCCCTCCGGAAAAAAATCCTGCGTACGCTACTGAAAGTAATATGCGGTATTACTAAAGGACAACACAGCCAAACTTATGCCATTTTCACCTATAGTTTTGGAGTTTAGGTTATAAATTATTCGCATTATATTATCCTCAGAAACATCTCAAAATTTAAGTTTACCTTCAAAATGAGTATGAGTATAGAAATCGCAAGGAATATTTGAATTATTTACAAAGGATTTATTTATGGCATTAACGTCACTTAACTCTGGTGGAATGTGCTTGAAACGTCTTATTGCTATATATAGTTATTCGTGTAAAAATAATGAAAACTTAAAACGCAGTTTGGTGGACGTCAATATTGGTGCATTGAGTATATCGATGGCGACTACTTGGTTAGTCATTTTCATCATTAATTGCTGTTCATTTTCTTGTTCGTGATAAGAGAAGGGGTGGCAACAAAATCATCTAACTGGTTTAACAAAGAACTAAAATGTATTCGGAGTAAAAAAAACCAAGGAAGTCAGAGATACAAGGAAACTAGTTAATTTTGAACGTAATAAGTATAGCTCACAGAAAAATCAACCCTCGCTTACTATAGAGGATTTTAACTTTTTTATAAATTCGACTGATCAAATAATAACTTATCTTGCACAAGGTGCAACTGTACGGCATTAGGGGACTTGTGGGAAAACTCATAAACAACCATTTTGGAGAAAATGTTTACAACTTACAGACTGTCAAAACCGTTTTTTTAATATCTGGTTTGAGCTAGGAAGCTGTCCTGCCAAGCATATGGCACCTAGTTAAAATGAAATATGCATTTGAAAGGAGCAATTTATCTTTTTCATAAAATGCGACGACAACATTTCGAATGCAGAATCGAACATTCCTTACGTAATTACCAAAAATGTATATAAGGAAACGCAAATGAAATTAATTTACAGATGCCACTTTACCGAATGTCCTTATATGTACTTACTTCCGGGGTAAACAGACGATGTTAACTGTTAAACGATAATCAATAATATGGTGTGATAGGTAAGTAACAATATCAAGTATAACCAACGTTCTTAAAGAGTATTTGTATCTCTTTGACTTGTTGAAAAATGGATTTTTCTTTTGTTTGCAATTAACAGGTGGATTGCATGTGTGGGTTCAGTATTTAATTTAGGAAGGAAAACTCATTTTCAGCGTACAGTACGTAGAGCATTGAATAAAAATTAATTTTTTATTCAATGGTTAGAGTTAAGGCGAAATATTAATTTCTGATAAGCGGGTAATCTTTCAAAACACCGAAAATAAGCACACAGCAAAATGTAGCAAACCGCCCCATTTGTAGCAAACCACCCTTTAACAGTTTCGCATCGCATGTCAGATTCGATTTTCATTAATCAGTACAAACGCTTATGATTAAGGAGTAACTACGGGATAGTGGAGATTTTCTTAGAATCATTCAATGCATTGCTGCTTATTCCTTATTTATGGAGTTTATACAGTAGGTTTCGTTTTAATTACAGCGCAGATGGACTAGGTACCTACTGTTGAAAATCTGGTAATACTGCCGTCCATATCAACACAGTGGGTGATATCATCAAGAAATAGGGGTTTGAAGTACACATTCGCAAATCTGCAGATTGAGGATTATTAAGGATCCTCAGATCCTTTATAGTTTTGTATTGTCGTCCGTCCGTCCGTCCGTCCGTGTGCGCTCTAACTCTTTTTAAAAGTGGCCGACTGTGTTGAAATTTGGTGTATGGGTACTTTGGATTTTAAGGACGGACGCTATTGATTTTCAGTACGCTGGTTCAACAGGAACAAAAGTTATAGGGCTTCCAGTGAATCGGAACAGGAAAAACTGCGGGCTCAATATAATAGAAATTAACATATTTCATTCCCTAGGTCATGTATCGAGTTCGGACTTTCGCTAGATTATTCCCTATGGCTTTTAGATGTGTAATAATTCAATATAACTCATCTCTGTGGTACAGGTCGAAAATCTTAGGGCAAAATGTACCCAAAATTATTTTTTACACATGAATTGGGAATTTTAAAAGCTTTCTAACGCATTATCTTGATGCTGAAAGAGTGCATCACGTCGTGCACATTTGATAACCGCATATGTGAGATTCAAAGATGTTAAATGATCGGAGTCCACATGGATTTTGATCAAAATACGTCAAAATCGTTATTTATGCACCAAGATCGTTGGGAAAAAGACCAAGAGCATTATCTCATTGACCAAAACATGAATTTTGATCTATTTTTGGCAACCACATGGATTTTGATCAAAACATGTCAAAATCGTTTTTCTTGCACTGATATCGTTGGGAACAAGATTAAAAGCATTATCTCAATGACCAAGACATGAATTTGATGCATTTTTGTTAACTATAAAACGTATTTTGTAAGATTAAAATAAATTGTCGTTAAAAGTGATTGTAATACTGAGGATCCTTCGATATTTCGTTGTATCGGTTTATTCTTATTAAAGAAGCACAGCCAACCAAAGGTTGTAGAGCGTATAGAGAAATAGAATACTTTTGTAAACGATCACTCAAAATCGAAATTTTTCGGCAAATTCTCTATTTTTAGTAGTTTTTCTTAGCCAAAGTTATAAGGCTACAATTTAGGGGTGGTCTTGCAATCTTTATTCACGTATTTAATTTGATTGAACGTTGCAGTCTTTCTCAGGCAAACGTTACGAGGAGGCATTGTGAGTTCCTTGTAGGGGGTGGCTGTGCAATCTGTTTTCAGGTATATGACCGAAACTTACTCTACACTTCTCTGGATTGTCAATAAAATTGATATGTACATTCTAAAATTTACATGGAAGAATATGTAAAAATCTATCTTAGGTAAGGGAATTGCAAGTTCAATTTTCGGGTGGTTTCTCGCATATTGATTGGATCTCAATCTACCCTTGTCGATCTATACATATCGTCAAGATAATTCTCAGTTTGTATGGGAAGAGTTTTTAGGCATTAATTTCAAATTTAGGTTCCTCAGGCACTTTGTATTCGCGTCTTTGACCAAAACTTAATCTACACCTATCTTTATTAACGTTAGTTGTAGCTTAGTTTGCACGTATTTTCCCTTAAATGTTGTCAATAGAATTGATCCATACATACTCAATTTGTGTGGAAATAGTTTAGTTAGTGTTTTTTCTTAGGCAACATAGGTTGGATTTCGAATCCAATTTAGGGCTGATAGGTTAATTTTCATTGAATTCATGAATGAATATTGTTTTATTGAGAGACGCCCGGCAGCTGGGCCTTCAACATCTCCACCTATTTTGGGTTATACTTCCATAGACATTATAGACAAGAATATTCAAAATTCCAGAGGGTTTGATTTTTTGTTTGAATTTTACACTATCCTTCTATGAATTCATTTCGCGTCCTTACTGTACCCAAAGTAGAAGCACATTCTTTCTTTGGACATGCGAGAATGGAAGAATAGCTATAAAGCTAATTTATTTTTAATTTATTTGGTTGATTTTTTTTACAGCTACATATATGCTTAATTTGTGAGGAAATAATTTTGAAACATTTTCGATTTTCTTAGGTAAAACCTATAGGGGATCGCTAGTTCAATTTAGGGGTGGTCGGGTAATTTGACAAAACCTTAGTCTACGCACACGAACATCATCGATAAAATTTGATTCAAATATTTCGTATTTTGTGAGTGCCCTCTAGTCCACTTCGTTCTCAAGGTATATGAGCGATTACATCACATTTATAAAAGGAGAATGAAGGGGTGTATTGGTAGACATTTTGAATTTTTTTTTAAATTTTCGTTTGAGTTTTGAATATTTTTGGAATTTCTATGGGGTCGAAATTTAAAGGGGTAATATGTCCGAGAAGTGTGGAATTTCAGTAATAAACGTTAAAACGTGTTGGAAATGAAGTTCGTCTTTTCTGTATCATTTCAATTTCAGTAGCCTTTTGTTTAATGACTTCAGGATGTGAAGGCGACGTGATAGCGAAAGTTTATCTCAGGTTCAGACGGTTTTGTTAGAGGTATTTCGTTTCATTTACTAGGCTAGAGTTTACTAGAATGTTGGACAAGATTCACGTGGAAACTACCAGCACGCAACCACTGCAAGTAATAAATTTGGATGCGCGTATTAAATTATTGAAGCGACCAGTTACGGTCAATATACAAATAATGTTTTTGTGTGAAATTTTCTGGCGAGTTTATTAACCGGAAAGGTGCTTAGCAAAGTTGTGTTTTAACTCGTAAAGGGTTTTACCATTATCAAATAAACTGAACGAGAACTTAAATTCCTTGTGTCAAGTTGCGAGAGAAAACAGTATCGTAGAAAAACACGACAAAAAACATTGTTTCGCAATGTTCGCGTAGTAAATAACGTAGAGACGTAGTAAAAATTGAACGAAACGGCGACGCGGTTTAACATAAATTAATTCAATCGACATTGTTGAAACTAACATAAAAATGCATCATGCAGTGCTTCCTAAAATATTTGTCCTGTAAGAACAAAATAAACTGTTATACCCAAATTGCGAGATGAGTAAATTATTATTACCACTCGCACGTTAGCAAAAGAGGTATTGCATTGGGGTAAAAAATGACCCCCCTCCACTTTTTTGAAGAAACACATGTTTTGACGCACCAGGAATCAAAAAAAATCTGGATGCTGTCGATCTGTTGGTCTGTCTGCCTAAAGGCCTAACGGCTAAACCGATTAAACCAATTTCATAACATATTCTTAGACATAAAAGAAAAGGCCGAAAAGCTTTTGGGCATAACGCGCATGTGCAGATATGCGGGTGGTATCTATGCTAGCCACAGTATATTTATTGTTCAAATTTTGGAATTTGTCAGAAGTATTACATAAATAAAGTGGTTACTTCATTTTTTATTAAATTACACGGTTCTAATCAAGCATATTTGTAAAATGTATAAGGAAAGCGCGTATAGGAATAAAATAGGCCCTTGAGTGTTTCATTTACTAGTAAGCAGTGAAAAGGGTCAAGGAGTTTTGTAGTTAAATTGCAGAGAGAAAAATGGAGAGATTTGCAATAAACACAAACAAAAGTGAAAATTCTGGACCAGTCCCTTAAGGGGCAGAGCTACAGTCAAACTTCAAAATAATTTATTGATTTATTTATTTATAATCCCTCTCTTGTTCTGGACCCTCAACAGGCATGTGCCCAATTACAGTGTGACCCGCATAATGCGAATATTTCGAAAGTATGATGGTGGTCTTGATGAAACACATTTGTCGAAATTACTATCTTTTGCTTTGGGGATACTATGAGTAAATGTTAGTTTGAGGTTCATTGCCGAAACCGACACGGTGGTTCATTTGCATTTCCAACCATTTAGATGGAGTACGTACGTTTCAGCTTACTCTTTTCCAAACACGGCATTTTTGGTAGAAACTATGATAGATGATACTGATGCCGGCTCATATATTTCGAGTTATAATCGGAAAATCAAGACAAGGATCTTTTAAGTATAGGAAACTGTATGGTTCCGTCCTAAACATTCCCAAACATTTGGTGAATTCGTTAACTGGACCTTCGACCTTTAAGCATGAAGTTTTCATCAAAAATGCATCGGTCGTGTCAATAATTTAAAAACACGTGTCAACAGATCAGATAGGTATGCAAAGAACCGCCATTAATATGCAAGTCAAAGACTAGAATCTTAAATTGCTACTTCAGTTACCTGCTTTGTATATTTGCCTGAAAGTCAAAAGCATCGACTACTTACCAAACGTAAAAAAGATGAAGGCGTAAATAACATCCTTACACAGCATCGCTTCTCGATATCTGCTACATTTTCCATTATTGTAATACTGACCAAATCCAAACAATGGAAAATAGGTTACGATAATTGCTCCACCCCAAAGCAGAAAAATACATCGTTTAACCACACTGTGAGTAACAAACTGAAATAATGAAGATGATTATATTGGGTATAGGTAGTGAAAAGACTTAATGAGGATAAGATACATTTCGAAAATTAGGGTAGGTACAACAACAACCAATTTTCTTAGTAGGGAAGCGCACAAGCTTAGCTAATGAATAGCTCATTCACTCTAATTGATTTGAATAATGTTAAATTGTAATCTTGTGACGTGCAATGAACGAACGGAAAGGCAATGCTCTGTACAATAAAAAAATATGCTATTTTGTTTTCTGGAATAATGGGATGCAATTGTTCGTACTGATCGTAACCGTAACAATGAAACTCTTTGGCCCACTTGGGTGCACTCTTCTTCCTCTATAGCGACACAATATTTCAAATGTAAATAATACGAAACTTTGAACAGGTAGCAGTTTGAATAGTTGACGTTTTAGATAAAATGACAAGAAGTTTGAGCTTCTGGCTTACATTTTACAGGGTGTTGGAATTGCAAAGGGAATTCTTGTTTTAAAAGCGTAGGATAAAGCACCCCTAAATCAACAGTTTGCAACTTACCGCTTGGTATAGGAATGGTTTTGTAAGGGCCAACCATCGTTCGACAGCCATAACCAAAGCAACGCACCCAGAACCAATTCCAAAACCTCGAAGGCACACAAATAAAGCGCATCTCCAGTGCGTAGGTAAAACGTCGTATTTATTCAAATACAGCATCAGCAGCATACCACATTGGGCAATGATATCATTTGAAGCCAAACATCGTAACATAAGAATATGTTTACTATTTCGCACCTTTGATGATTTATGTAAAATCCATAAAACAGTTAGATTTGCGAGCGCCCCGATAATAAACGCAATTGTAATCACCACGTGCATAATTAACTGCACATTGGAATTTTTCTCACTTATTTCAGAGAAATGCTCCATCGCTTTAGCTACTGCAGTAATGTTTTTCATTTCGGGAGGAACTCGGAAACACTGAGTGTTATCGTTGAGTGAAACGTTATTCAATGGTGTTATTAAGGACAACGCATGAAGTTCACTAAGCCGCAATCGCGTTATCCTGTTCCTATAGCTACTTGATTTTGCTAAAACATTTAAGTTCTAATCATATACCCACCTTATTATTGACATCCTGTCTTTATTATTATGTTATATGTTATGCGTTATTCATAACATTATTGTCTGTATAAAACAGATGCAGATTCTATCTGCATAACAATTTCAATTAATTAGTACAAGAAAACAACTTAATCACTCTATTCTGGTTAAATCAACCGTCGCCATGCCATAAATGCAGGAGGAAATGGTGGTCATAATTGCACAGGATAGTGAAAAATATGCAATTAGCCATTTACCTTATTTAAATAAGTACATACTCAACAAAAATACCAAAGGCTAATTTTAGAAATTCGGATCAAACCTCTTAAGAGTTTTATATTTAAAGCTTTTTATGATTGATCTTATATGCAAATTTAAAATGTAGGCTGATTGCCACCAGGTTTATGACCTTGTCACAGAAACTTGTGGTTCAAAGGATTCTTGTGTACGAAAGACAGAAGCATTACGATTTTCATTTGGTACTTTCAAAATTCAGTTCAAACCTCGAACCACTTAATTCAAGGTGCAAAGTTTAAACCTTTAACCTGATATCAAATAGAACTGATTCATAGTAGTGGGAAGTTAGATCCAACCGAGTAGATGAACGAGATCGAACGCAGACATTTTTGCTCGTACCGGAACCATTGCTATAAGATACACTTTACCATTTTAGGTCAACAGCACCAACCAGTACAAAGTAATTTGGCAAACGGATCGACAGACCGACAGAATCTCCACAATTTCTTCCGGAACGCATGCAGTCTTCTTAAGAAGGCACAAAAAACCGTTCTGGTGCCATTCCAGTCCATAAGTTATTTTTCATAGCATGCGAAAATTGTTCTATAGTCCGTCTCACCTTTAAATTTACAGTACAGGGATCATAGGGCAATGCAATCATTATGGGAGTTTTTAGCGCGGCGATGCCGGTTTTAATTTGAATGCTAATTGCCATAATTTTCAACCTAAAATGTCATTTTAATGCATTTGCGCACTGATAATTAACAATTTAGTTCTAAAAGTTGATGAGATGGGTACAGGGTCGAAGGAGGAAAAGCGAGATGCGCGTTTTCCGACAGCTGAAGGGGTGAAGTAGATCCAGATTCATCGCAGAATGGATGCTATGTAAGGTGACAGTAACAGTTTCAGATGCCTGATGCACTACAGTCAAAATATGGTCGGCGCGGTTCTGGGAAGGACAGGAGTTCTTGTACCACAATGCGCGACTAGGACAATCCAACGTGACTACGGAAGACTTCATTGTTCGCGTGGATAAGGTTGTAAATCTTAATAGACACATCACAGAGGACGAGATTGCCACAATGGTTTTGGGACTCATGAAGAAGCACTTGAAAGGCCGCTGTTTCACATCGGACGCACTAGGCAAACGGACAGGCCGAGGTCTGCGATCCTGTGAATCGCTTCTCGCCCGAGGGAATTCTGGGAGCAAGGCGGACAATAAAATTCAACCACAATTGAATCAAACGGTTATGGAAAATTTCATCAAAAGAGTCCATATGTGACAGACCCATGAAGCGGTGGAGTGACTTACCCTATAAGCTGTTCCATACATAATCCTATCGCTATTTATGATTCAATTATTCCCATGCTCCATTCCCTTGTAATTTCAGGAAGTGCTTCCAGAGTTTACGCCTTCAAAAAAGCCCCTATCTGCCAAAATTTCGACTGTAAAATGTAAAATCCCGTTTTTTCCCGTTCCCGTTCCTTTTGGAATTTCGGGAAGTGTTTTATTAAATGAGAAAGCGTCGCGGGCCTACGTCCAACAATTCTCCAAAGTTTCAATTCAATCGGATGAACGGTTTAAGAAGGCATAAGGGACATACAGACGGACAAACATTCATTTTTATTTATATAGACTCCAAACTATGTAGAAATAGCAGGTCTTGCGGGCCTGTGTCATGTGTGACATCCTACATCAACGACCATCATTAATCTGGCGAAATGTAGACATATGCTAAATAATATATAAAATTTAAAAAAATCTGCATCGGCCGGGAATCTAACCCGGCCCGCCCATTTGCTATAAATCATATTCTAATTACATTTGGCATCGTTGTCGGCCATAAGAGCCTATACTGTAAAGTCAAGGTGAAACGGACTGTAATAAGCCATTACTAAACGGGCGGATCTCTTTTGAATTTCAGACTTTTTTTACTCTCTTTCTGGACCGCTGCTTGTTGAAAAAATACAAATATTGTAGAGCCTGAGCTTGTACCCAAATTTTGTTACCATATACGAATAATTATCCTTGTGGGGAACTTTCCCGGGAGTTTCATGTCACAAGTACCACGCCTGCGGGCCGATAAGCTTGGTCCAGAATCAATCAGTGCGATATACAAAATCTCCGGTATAGTCAAGTAAGTAAGCCGGACCTAGAAAAGTGTCCCCGAGGTCTCGTTTATACCAGACTGAACCGTTTCTCGGATACTGGAGAGGGCGCGTCCCCGGGTGGCGGATAGGGAAAAACCCATACAGACACCTGAATGATCGTACGTGACTCGTGCTTCGGTGTGGGTAGTGGCGATTATCAGTGGCTCGTCGGGACTCCCAGACTGGTAACGACGAAGGTCGTCGCCGCGGACCAACCTCCCAAGTCAAGGTGTTAGCGACCGTGCCGAGGACTGCGTGGCACTGGGGTGCAGTGTTGATAACGGCGCCCCTCGGATACCGGGCGACCTCCGAGTGGTGGTTCCTTTCCTTTGGGAAGGGGTTGGCAGCCAAGTCCTGGGCAAGCGGCTCTGCCCAGGTGAGACCGCATTTCCGCACTACTCGTGGGAATTGTATGGAATCTTCTAACAAAACCTTTCTGGGCTCCTCGTCAGAGGGGACCAACAAGCCGGGCCCTCAAAAGGGGTCCGGTAACGGGGCAGGCTCCTCGATAGAGGGGACGGCTCCAACGCAGGGCCTTACCCAAGGACCTGGTGGTGGGTCAGCTCCTATTCGCAAGAAGAATAGGACTGGCGCACAGAAGGCGATGGCCAGGAAGCGCCGGCTCGAGGGTAAAACCTCGGGTCAAGCGGGCCCTGCGCCAAAGCCTAAGGCTGCGTCTGGGTCGTTGGCTCAGGGGGGCAACCCGACGTCAGGGACTAAGCGTCTCAGATCAGAGGGAAGCACTCCAGGGTCTGGCTCAAGGCAGCCTGAGAAGAAGCCTAGAGGTTCTGATGCACCCAAGGGTGCACCACGAACTTATGGGCAAGTCGCTGCGGCAGGGCTTAAGGTGGCCGTCGTTCCGGTTTCATACCCGGAGGTGGACATCTCTGAGGCTCAGTCGAGGTGCATTATGGCTGCATTGAATGCAGTCGTAGACCAGATGGAGGGAGGGCCCTTTCCTCGGCTGGCAGGGTTCCGCTGGAATCCGCAGGGTGCCATCGTGGCCGAATGCGAGGACCAGTGGACCTTGGACTGGTTGGAGAGGACCGTCCCTCTTATCAGGCCCTGGGATGGCGCGTCGCTGAAAGTTCAGAGGCACGTCCCGAGGGTAACCAAGGTGATGGCTGTGTTGTACGGGCTCCCGGATGACACGGACACCATTTTGAAGCGCCTCCAGAGGCAAAATCCTGGTTTCAGGACGAGTCTATGGAGGACGTTCTTTCGCAGGGAGGAGCCTGGTAGGATTCTCCTCGCATTTGGTGTCGATGAGACGTCCTATCAGGCACTCCAGCGACAGAACTTTCAGGCGCACGCGGGGGTCTCGCGCGTCACTTTTGTGACGAAAGCGGGTGCTCCGGCTGCGCAAGGTAAGGGAGAGAGCTCCACCGAAGCAGCGGGACCTAGTTCCGTTGCGACGGAGGGGGCTCAACCTCGCAGTGTTGATCTCGAAGAGGCGGCGGGATTGCTCCCGGCGCCCGAAGAGATCGAGAAAGATGTCAGCGAGCTTTTGGCTCGTGTGGCGGTTCTTGGCTCCGACCAGGGGTCGGAACCGTCGGCATCGCTAACGGAGGAGGGAACCTAGTACATCAGTGATGGACAAAGTAACCTTCTTACAGAGCAATTTGCAGCACAGTAAGGGGGCGACCTGTCTAATAGGTCGTCAACTTGCTGTAAAGCAGACAGGCGTATGCCTCATACAAGAACCTTGGGTTTACAAGGGACGAGTAAGAGGTCTGGGCCAGGTGGAGGACTCTCTTTAATATAAGAGGGACAGCCAACTGAACCCGAGGACTTGCATTTATGTCGATAGACGAATCGAGTCTTAACTAATGGCTGATTTTTGTTTCAGGGATCTCGTAGCTCTACGACTTCAGCTGAAAGATGACAGAGGACGGGGCAGGCACTTGGTGGTCTGCTCCGCCTATCTCCCGTACGACTCAGAAGGGGCTCCACCAACCAAGGAGCTGGCTGAGTTGATAGAGTACTGTCGAAGTAGTGGGCTCCCTCTTGTGGTTGGCTGTGATGCAAACGCACACCATGTTGTGTGGGGCAGCACGGACACGAACTCGAGGGGCGACCACCTTCTGGAGTACTTGCAAACAACTGATTTGAATGTTTTAAATCAGGGAGCAGCCCCTACCTTCGTCACAGCGCGGAGGCAGGAGGTCATTGATCTGACGCTGGGCTCCTTTTCAATAGCTCACATGATCACGAATTGGAGAGTGTCTGATGAGCCGTCGCTTTCGGACCACAGGCACATTCTTTTCCAACTGAACCTGGCATTGCACTGCGGGCCCTGTAGGTTTCGGAATCCCCGATCCACTGACTGGGACTGCTATGTGGCAAAACTGTCGGACCGGTTGGATAGACCACCTTTGCTCTGTCGGAAAGCAGGGCAGGTGGAAGAGGCGGCCGCATTAGTAAGCGACGCCATAACAGCGTCCTATGAGGACAGCTGTAAACTGCGTACCTTTCGAGGAAAGAAGAGAACACCTTGGTGGAACTCAGACCTTGAAAAGGCTCGTAAGGAGGTTCGCAGGCTCTTTAATAGGGCCATGCGAACTAAGTTACCTGCGGACTGGGAAGATCTTAAGATCTCCCAGCGCAGGTATAAGGACCATATTCGGAGGTCGAAACGAGGATCTTGGAGGACTTTCTGTGGTAACATGGAAGGTCTTCCTGAAGTTCAAAAACTTCGTAAAATCCTTTTGAAGGACCCGGGGCAAAAGGTGGGGACACTGAGGCTTCCATGCGGCAGATATACGTCTACCGCGGGTGAGGCTCTCACATGTCTCCTGGAAACACACTTTCCAGGCTCTGGGGACTACTTAACTTCGGACCCACCAAAAGGAGCTACTCGGGTCGGTGTAAGGCCGATCAACTGGAAAGTAGCTTCCCGGGTGGTTACCGAGGGATCTCTGAGATGGGCGGTCAACACGTTCAGCCCATTTAAGAGTGCAGGACCGGATGGGATATTCCCGGCTCTTCTACAGAAGGGCCTGGATCCGCTGCTCTTACACTTGTTGCATCTCTTCAGAGCCTCTCTGGCTTTAGGGTATATCCCCGAAAGCTGGAGGAAGGTAAGAGTTGTGTACCTACCTAAGCCGGGTCGTGCTAAATATGACGTGGCGAAGGACTATAGGCCCATCAGCCTATCATCGTTTCTTCTAAAAACGGAGGAGTCCACGTGCAGGTTCTGTGGCGAGGCAGATGAAACTACCGAGCATGTGGTCTGTCACTGTGACGTTTTGATCAGAGACAGATATCAACTCCTTGGAGACAGATACCTGGAACCGAGGAGGGTGAAGCAACTTAGTCTAAACAGGGTCCTATCCTTCATTGAGAGGAACGGGCTCTGAACTCAGTTGCGAAGAAAGGGGGTAGGCACAATGGGCCTCTGGTGTGCCGAAGTGCTGCCCGGTCGGGCTCCCCTGCGAATAGAATAGAATAGAAGGCAGTGGTAGGGTCTTCGTGTGGCCCAAACCTTCCCTAGGAATTTCTCCCTCCGTTGTCAGGGTCTTCAGTCAATTCCAAGCTGAGTGGAAACAAGCTACTGGACTCGGACAGTCCAGGCCCTTGTACACAGGCCCCCTTGCAAATCTGGGTCTCTAAGTTTCTAAAACTGAATAGAAGAGACAGAAATCAGCTCCTTGGCGACAGCTATCTACAACCGAGGAGGATGACGCAACTTAAACAGGGTTATATCCCATATTGAGAGGAACGGGGTCTGAACCTAAGTTGCCAAAAAAAGGGCGTAGACACAATGGGTCTTTGGTGTGCTTAAGAGCTGCTTGGACGGGCTCCCCTTGTGAATAGATAGAGATCCTCGAAGATCGCGGTACGTATAGGTCAATTCGGATTCTGCTGTGGAGTCGTTTATGGGGTCAACTTTTGCTTATATGTCGCTATTGCCGTAACTTCTTCGATTTCGGTGGTGTCTGCCTAAGAAGAGGACCACCAAATGAACGCAAGCAGCTCGTCGTCGCCACAGACATCTGTTTGAAAGGCATATGAGTCAGGCACCTTTTGGTTAGTTATTTTCTATCATCATTCCGTGTTTTGTAGGTTTAATCCAGAGAGAACACTCCGGAACCTTTGTTTCAAAGCAGTACAATACCAAAAGATTACGCTTAGTCAATAATTATTGATGCAGGGAAATTATTCCGACCTAACACAGTCTGTTTTGCAAAAGTGAGTTTTGGGTAGCTTTATTATAATGAATAAGAAGCAATTCCTGTTCATTAAATACAATTTTTGCACCAATTCCTTAGTAGCATTGCATTTTCGATTATTAAACATAGTGACCTGCGACTGTTAGTTATTTGTCATTTTTAATTACCGTACGTCAGTGTCATTCATCATGGCTTCAGATTCGGTAAATGTTCCAATGGAATGCCGCCTTTGTGGAGATCCGGTGAAGACTCTTAACTTATTAACACCTAGAGAATATGAATATACTGAATTGGACATGTGTATGTTGTACGAGGTACGTGCAATTATTTTATGTATTTAAATACCTACTAAAAACGCTTTTAGCTTCACGGCGGCGACGAAGATTATTTCCTTTGCGACAACTGTCGTCACTCATTGTCACAAATTTCAAAATCAATACAATTAGTCCGTAGTTCAAGAGTAATTTCCGAAATGAACAATACAACGGGATGTCTTATGTGCGGAAGCAATAGTGGACTCCACTATTTTGGAATTGACCACGGACCAATCGGGAATGAAGTTTTCAGTCGCATGATTGCACGATATGGTCGTGTAAGTATATATGGAACCTTGGTAGTCAATCCTTCTAAGAAGTTCTTTCTATAGTTCAACAAGTGGACACCAATCATCTGCGAAGCATGTGATGAGGTATTTTCTGATTTGGTCGAACTCCACACCGTGCTACAAGGTCACTTGGTAAGAGTTTACACAGGATGTCCAAACAAAACCGTGCACCTCTGATAAATCAGATTGCGAACACTTACCATGGCGGTTTTTAAGTTGGGACACACTGTCTTACTTGCTGATGGATAAATTAAAGTATAAGAAACCCTGAATTTCAAAAACCTTTCCCATTTTTAGCAGCGCAAAAGAGCAGAGCCGTCTACTGGTCAACGTTCTGCACCGATTCTTGCGCCAGAATCTACAGAAAAGAGTACTAAAAGAGATGTTCAAGAGAGCATTGCCTATGATGCAGTGCGCTGTAGTTCAGATTTTCTAATTTTCCCACTGTCTGGTAGCAATACTTCCCCAGAACTAAATTTTGGACTGCCATTTCCACCGGGAGAGATAAAGTGGAACACTTCAATTACACCAAGAGATGAACCTGTTAGCTCCTCTTTTGAACAAACCCTGAGTGCGTGGATCCTAGTTATACAACAAAGGCTGTTATGAACTATATTTGTAGGTACGATTGCAGAACAGTTAAAGGGAACCAAACCCGTCTTCTGTATTGGAAGCGAAAGTTCCGAAGACACTCTGGGATGCTCGCCAAAATTTGGAACAATGAAAGAACCTGTTGTTTCCACTTCTACAGGAAATACTAGTGAGCATAGTACTATACCACACACTTTATTACAAATTACATTCGTAGGTATCGTCAAAGAGCCAATAAGGTCAACCAAACCAAGTTATGATGAAACTTTCGAATTTACTAACATAAAGGAACCTGCTGCGTCCATTCGTGAAGAAAACATGAGTACGTATATCTTAAGTAAATATATCGCATATATCAAAGTGTTTTTGAAGGTACAAATGAATGCCAATTAAGGAGAAACAAACCTATTTTCTGTATTGGTAGCGATAGCTCTGATGAAAGCGTGGAATACGATCAGGAATTTGCAAAGGGGGATGAAGCAGTTGCGCCTACATATAAAGATAATATTAGTGCGTACTGTTAGTTCTATGCTTCACATCTCATCACAAACTTGTAGGTGCCAACGAAGAACAGTTAAAGAGAACCAAACCCATTTTTGTCATTGGCAGCGGAAGTTCCGATGAAAGTTTGGAACAGTTTCAGCAATCACAAACAGATATTACATTCGGTACCTACCTACTCATTATATATTTTAACAATGTCTAAGTTCCGCTTGGCCTTATTTCAGAAATTACTCTATCGTCTCCTAGCCTTCTTATTGACCGTAAACACGCTAATTTTCAACAAAATATCTCTAAAGATCTGTATATTGATGGGGCGAAGAGTTTAGACATGGCGCAAAGATCTCCCCTGTGCAATAAAAATGAAGACTTTTGGTTTGAAGAAGATGTATCACAGTATATGCCTAGAAGTCTCTACATTGATGATAATGACAGCTTACCCAAATTTCCAAGGGATCAATTAGCTCCCATGCACGGCGAGGAGAAGTCACAGATCAACTTTAATGGTAGGCTCTACTTAAGTGCACTCAAAAGATACCTTTTAAACCATTTCAGAGAAAAGCGTTGAGCATGAAGACGTCATCAGTTGTATTAATAAAGGTGCAGGGGATCATTCTGAAGTAGATTCCATTGATCAATTACTCCGTTTAAATGATGAACTGTCTGCTACATGTACACCAGTTCCAGGTATGTTTTCTTTGCATAGTCCCAGCTCTCTTTTGTGTTTAGAAGAAGTTATCATGTCGTATATGCTTACAGATCTTCATATTGACTTTACAGACAGTTCAGAAAACGCACAATTATTCAAAATACCCAATAAAAAAGAAGACTATCGGTTTGAAGAAGATGTAACACAATGCATGCCCAGAAGTCTCTTCATTGGTGATAATGACAGCTTACCCAAATTTTCAAGGGATCAATTAGCTCCCATGCACGGTGAGGAGAAGTCACAGATCGACTTTAATGGTAGGTTCTACTTAAGTGCACTAAAAAGATACCTTTTGAACCATTTCATCTCTTCTGTGCTTAGAAAAAGATGTGATGTCGTACAGAATGTCTACTGATCTACATATTGACTTTACAGACAGTTCAGAAAACGCACAATTATCCAAGACTCCTAATAAGAAAGAAGACTATCGGTATGAAGAAGATATAACACAATACATGCCCAGAAGTCTGTTTATTGATGATAGTGACAGCTTGCCCAAATTTGTCCCGATGTCCGGTGAGGAGAAGTCACAGATCGACATTAATGGTAAATTTTTCTTAAATGCACTCAAAAGTTACCTTTTGTTCATTTCAGCGAAAAGCGGGAAGCATGAGGACGTCATAAAACCGATTAATAAAGATGGAAGGGATCGTACTGTGGTAGATTCCATTGATCAATTTCTCAGTTTAAATGATGACCTGTCTGCTACCTGTACGCCAGTCCCAGGTATGTTTTCTTTACGTAGTTGAGATGCCCAGCTTCTTTTGTGTTTCGCTGATACCCTATGTACTTAGAGATCTTTATGCTGGCTTTGCAGAAAGCGCACAATTATCCAAAATGACCAATAAAAAGGAAGACTATCAGTTTGAAGAGGATAGAACACGATACATACCCAGAAGTCTCTTGATGGATGATGATTATAGTTTACCCCGTTTTCCGACGGATCAATTATCTAATACGCCAGTCAAAGATGTGCCGCAGACTGAATTGGGTAGTAAGTTGTTCCTAAGTGCAAGCAAAAAATTCTCTAACGCCATTTCAGAAGAAACCGAAGAGCCGGAGGACGTCATTAATTCGGATACACAGGATCTTTCTGGACTTAACCGATTTAATGAATTCCTTCACTTAAATGATGATCTATTTGCTACACTTAAGTCAGTTCTAGGTATGTTGTCCTTGCGTAGTCGAGACCTGTAGCCTTTTTTTTGTTTTTAGCAAAGGCTGTTACGCCGTTTATCCCTAGAACTCTTTATACTGGTTGCACAGACAGTTCACACGATGTGCCCAATAAAAAAGAAGATTGTCGGTTTGAAAAAGATATAACCATTCCCAGAAATCTCTTCAATGACGATGATGATAGTTTACCCGGTCCATCCGATCAATTATCCAACACTCCCGGTGGAGACAACCCGCAGACTGATCTTGATGGTAAGTTGTTCCTAAGTGCAAACAAAACATTCCATAAAACCAATCAAAAAGGAAACGAAGAGCAGGAGGATACAGAAGATCGTTCTGGAATAGATTTATTTAATGAATTACTTCACTTTAATGAAAATCTGTTTGCTATGCATACGTCATTTCCAGGTATATAACGTTGTCCTTGCATAGTCGAGATCTGTAGTTTTTTTTGTCTTTAGCAAGGAGTGTAACGCCGTTTATCCCTAGAACTTTTTATACTGATTATACAGACAATTCAGACGAGATGACCAATGAGAAAGAAGGCTATCGGTTTGAAGAAGATATAACACAGTGCATGCCCAGAAGTCTCGTCATTACTGATGATAACAGTTTACCTAGTTTTTCAGGGGATCAATTATTCAACAAGTCGGGTAAAGATAATCCGCAGACTGTGCTTGATGGTAGTTTGTTCCTAAGTGCAAGCAAACAATTTCATTAAACAATTTCAGAGGAAATCGCAGTGCAAGGCGAAGGTGAAATTGATATCACTGTGCAAGCGGCTGGTTTAACTGACACTGGAGTTGGGCGACCAGTCCCAAGTAAGTCTGTAATCACACACACAATTTTGTTTTCTTTTGTAGAGTTGTTTCACTCTCTGTCGTCCATCGGGTTTAACAGGAGCGCGCCGTTTCTGACTATACAAATGAGGGGCGTTTGTTTGTTGTAAAAACACAACATTCACTTTTTATGACATTTTTAGAAAGAGCAGCACCTAATTTAAGTGAAACTGCGCAGGTCTCTACCGATATGAAGGTTTATTCTGGAATGAACGTGACTGAATTTAATAAACCACCGTCAGGTATTGCGGCTCTCATGAGTTAACAAAAATGATTGTTTTATTTTTTTAGCCATGGCCATTGCAAACGATAAAGATGAAGTGCCTTGATTTTTCTTTGGAACGGAATTTCAAAATTTATAGTGACGTTAATTATTTCATTGTTTAATAGAGTTGTAACATTGCATTAAATGAGTTCAATAAAATATGGCTCACTTTTCCGAGTCAAGATAAATCGTTAGAAATCTTTTTCCTCGTGATAACTTTTGATCAATAGACTTACTTCTGTGTAAAGTAGCTAGAAAATCCGACAGATGGGGGAAATAGCAAGGAGATGTATATTCAGAATTTCTAATACGAACCAAACCAAAATGTGGTTCTTTCCATCTCCCGGTCTTGATGATCCAGCACTGCATACAGGACCATCAAGTCGCATTGCTACTATAGCAGTCCCGACCGAATCGGCGTACCATAACTATAAAAAAAGTGTTGAATAGGATACTACTGAAAACTACTGTTTTGACATCATCCCGATCTGAGATGAGAGTGCATTCCTCAGTGTCTAGTTGCCAGGCTCCTAGTTAAGCTGTCCCAAAATCACGACGTCCCTAGGGTGTACATTCACACTATGCACTGGTTTACTAACAAATTAAGGCAGTATTAGATTATTCGTGCAGCAACTATTGTTGCGATTATTGCAGAAATTATTGTAAAAAGATGCTGCAATTACACTATGCAATTTATTTGACAATTTTTTATACGTCGTTCTAATCATAGATTGGGACCAATCAATGTAGGACTGGTGTCATCGGAAAATGCTTGAAAACTATTTTTGTTTTAGTTGTAGCTCACGTCATTTTTTGTTTTCTTTCTTGCAGAGTTTATTTCCCTCCTTCTTTCGCTTGTTGCATTTTAATTCAAAACATTACATGCATATTTGTTCTAAATTGCAAGAGGAGATTTTCAACACTTGAAAGAAACTGCTTTGGTTCCAACACAATTTTTTTTTTGCGGAAATCTTAATTTGCATGAAGCATGGAGATTACTAAATACAATCGTAACGTAAATTATGTATGTGGCTAAGCTGTGCGGGCTGTGCCGTTATACTTAATTTATTTGGCAGAATGGAAGATTGACTCGGCTAAAAATTCTTGTTTTTCTCCATTAATTAACACACATAACAAATCATCCATTGAAATGCTAACTATATGATAGCGTTCAAAACTCTTTGGCACAAACTAGTCTCAGTAAGTAAGGGTACGTTTTAATTTGAAAAGATCCGAGTCATACCATACGTCCATACCTCACCCCTCCCTCCCTCCTCAATTCGCGCACAACTTGGACCCTCAAAACTAAAAATTTCATATCTATGTTAGCAAAGCAGGCCAACTCACTCAAACATTCGAACGCTGCAAAAACGAGTGCTTGCCTACTTGCTCACCACAGACACGACAATTCATTGCTAGTTTTGTCAATTGCCCGCATCATTCGAACACAACTGAGTTTGGTAGGACTCTCCGATCCTCCCTCGAAGATTTCCGGCCATCACAAGTACGAAAGCATGGAAAGCCAAGAATTTTCGTCCATACCTGCTCACATGTTTTTGTGTGAAAAGAAGGCCGAAAGGGATCAGTCAAATCCTTATACGTTCACGGTAATTACAAGAGACGACAAACACTTTGTCATAGTAGTAGGTATCTATCGATCGTCTGAAGCCAGTATTCACCGCAGATGGTGGAATCCAGCAGCCCTGTTCACTCCAGCAACGAGTTCTTGCCGAAGAAACTGCATCTTTGCCTACTCTTCGCATCAACGAACCAGGTCCGGACGCGTACCTACAGATTGGAACAGGCAACACGCGTTCTGCATTATTTCGAACTATACTACTGCACAAAGCGTTACAGTTATTAGGCCATCCCATGAAGCAAGCTCCATCGCTCAGCTCTTCCGTCCATAACAGCTTATTGCTTAATTGGCGATTGCTAATAAATACAAAAAAGTGTATTTTTATTCTGATTCACTGCACCCTTTAATCATTTATCTCCTTAAAAGTGTGGTTTACTAATATATCCGTTGCACGCATCAGCTCTTTTATAGTTTCCAAACCCCGATCCATTCTTTGTGGTAGGAATTTTTTTACAACATTAGAAAGAGCATACTGAAAAACCTCGGTAAAGCTCGAATTCCATTTTCCTATTGTTGCACTTAACGAAGTAACGCAAACTTTTGGGCCAAATTCGAAAGTGTGTGGATATTAGATTCTTGGGCATATTCTCTATTAAATTTAGGTGATTAATACAATTTTGATTTATTTTTATATTTCACGTTGTCCTATCATATAGTACATTAAATCGACTTACAGGATGAGTTTCCTTGAAAAAAATACTGATTTTTGAAATGGTCTGGTTCGTTTTTTTTGTTAATGCACAATCAAGATGAATCATCACAAGTTTTTGGCATCCCCATTTGATCTAGCTGTAGAATAGTATAAGTAAGTTAGATAACTACAATGGGTAGCGGAAACATCCGCTAAGTTTATTCAACCTGTAATTATTCATCTAATCATAGTACTGCACACGCACCATTGTTAAGCAATTAACACATACATTGCCAATGTTGCAAATTGATTGGACGAGTACTTGGTACACCACAGCCACACCATCGGAATACATGTGCATACCTATACGTATCTAAATTATATTGATCAAGTACCAGTTATCTTTATCCGCAAAAAGAAACAAGGAACCGATGTGCATAAAATATAGGAGAGAATACGTAAATGAATATTGATCTCATGGAACGCACGCAACCACTGGGCTATAATTAAAATCAGTTTTTTAATAGTAGGCATACTAAAGAATAGTTAAGTTAATCGTACGCCAAGGTTAGTTTCGGCAAGTGTCAGTCTCAACGACTTGCCTACTTGATATGCATTACGAATTACCAACATACCTAGGTACATTATATTGATCTCGAGTAGGTATGCCGCAATGGTTGCGTGTAAATTAATTACTTAGTAAAATTAACACAACATTATTTGCAGATGGTTTGCACTTTTTCAAGTTACCGAAGAGTCGATAGTGGACTTCAAAATTGACAGGGGCGCCATCCACCTTCCTCGCATGACTGGCAGTCATCGAAGAGCGAAAAAAACGGAATATGGATTTTGCTGGCTCGATATGAATTTTCTGTATATGGAAAAAGATTATTCCGGCCCGATTGCAAGGAAAGCAACAAAGCATGCGTGCCCTTGCTCACTTGTGACTACCATATCCACTAAATCTTAAAACTAGACGCATGGGGTTGCATGTTAAAAGCCTTACTTTCCTTGCCAAAGCTTTTGTCGAATCTTTTATTATTTCAAAACCTTTCGATAATTTCAAGGTAGGCCAAGACTGTAACCTGTTCAGAATTTCATTTGTTTTGCCAATTAAACGAATTTTACCGTCGATTCACTTACTATGCAAATTTTACACATTCATTTATAGATGTATATTGAAGGACCATCCCCCAGAAACTTTACGTATGGTAGAATTTGGAATTATATCCGATACTAAAAGGTAATTCTCTACACACCGGGAACAGAGATATGAACGGACAGACATTGCAATGTCGAGGAAAGCTTAAAGTCTGAAGCATGTACTACTGTAATTAATTAAATCCTTTCTAAAAATGTCTAGTTTTGTTCGCTAAATTAATAGTGAATAAAGGAAGTATCCCACCACCACCCCCGCTCGTCTTGATCAAGCAGTCCACATTCGAGATAGGAGAAGCTGGTTATGCGTTTGGAAAGGATACTCTATAATGTTAGGGTATGGTACGTATGGGGCGCCTACCTTTTGGTTTATCCTCATAACTCATAAGCAAGTAAGTATCGTTGGGCAGGAATTACAAACTAAAATTAAAATTTGTTATAATTTTGAAATACATACAAATAATTGAATAAAGAATATAAAAATTAAATTGTTAATACCTTGTAATTCGAATTAGCAATTCTTATCGAGCGCCTGTACTGATTAAATTAACTACTGGTGTATATTTATTAAACAGCGACCGTCTTGAAGCAAATGTAACAAGAAAAAAAGACGGGAGTTTTCAACTCAACAAAAAGCATCTTCTTCTTCTTGGAGTTCACAATCCTAGGATTTGTTTGCTATCCTTCACTTCTACATAACTACCCTTGCCTAGGTCCCTAACTATTTGGTCTATGTATCTAAGCCTTTGTCGTCCTACCACTTTCTTGCCCTTTGACCTACCTTCTATAGCGAGCTGTACTAATCCTCCGAGCCTGAACACGTGCCCTATCATTCTATCTCGTATTCTCTGTACGGTTTCCCACATTTTCCTGTACTACCTCCAAGAATGCTTCGTTTTTACCCTATCCATCCAGCTAATCCTCATTATCCTTCTATAGCACCACATTTCGAATACTTCTATCCTACTTTTGTCTTTCCTGTCTATCGTCCAGGTTTCGCACGCGTATCGAGCGACACTCCGTATGTACGTTTTTAGCAGCCTTTTCCTATTTCTTATATTTATCCCGGATCTTATAGCAGGTCCCGGTTTTGTTCAAATGCTTTTTTAGCCTGCTCTATCTGGGATTTTATATCTTCCTTGCTACGATTATCTTGTGTAACCGTACTACCTAAATAGCAAATTTCCTTTAAATGCTTTAAAGTGTCGCTTCCTATTCGGATCTTTATCTTTTTCCTATCCTCTCTTTTCGCCCATTTCATTACTTTTGTTGATTTTCAGTCTCTAGATAGTATTCCCTCCATACCGTTTAATGCTGTTTCTAGATCCCTTTCCCTTTCTGCTAGTATTAGTATGTCATCCGCGTATCTCAGCATCGCTCTGAACTTTGACACCTAAGTTAAACTCCTGCTTTACTCTATTTATGGCTTCTTCTATGTAACGGTCAAATATTGCCGGCGACACCGCGCAGCCCTATCTAACCCCCCTCTGCATCTTAACCTCCGCATCCTCACCCTCTACGTTAATCACCGCTCTCTGTTCCTTGTAGAGGTTGTAAATTACCCTCCTATCTTTATATACTATCTCTGTCTCATTCATTATCCTAAATAAAGTGTTCCAATTGATACTTTCGAATGCTTTTTCTAAATCTACGAAAGCCGTATGTAAGTTGTTTTTCCTACTCTTAACCTCTCCTCCAAAATTGTCCTAAGCGGTAATATAACCTCGCGCGTCCCACCATTTTTTCTAAACTTGAACTAG